TGGAAAACAATGGCATGGCCAGCTGAAGGTGATCCCCTTTGGATGGAACAACACCCTCTGCTTGCAGACAGGCCCAAGGGTCAGAGCAGGAGGAGTCAGAGCAGGGCCCAAAGAGGAGTTTTTAGGGTTTAAAATGTAACACAGTATGGTGATGTAATGATTCTTATAGGCTGTATGGAAATGCTATAGGATTTGTATCTTGTACTAGATTGGTTAGTGAGAATTAGACTATTCAACAGAGAAGATTTATGGTATTGGAACAGGAACCTCGCTCTTTCACCCTTTTACCCCACTCTTGCCTCCTCTCTCTTTCCCACTCTCTTTACTTCTCTCAGCCCTGCCCCAGCTGTGTTTGGCAGCTCCCAGCAGGGCCCTGCCCCCAGGCCCTCTGCAATGAACCCCAAGTTCCTGACCTGGCTTCAGAGATGTCTCGTGTCTGTCCGGCCCCGCCATCCTACCCCTGGCACTCCCACAGAGCTGGAGGGCTCTGGCTGCCCAGGCTGCCCCATCCCCGACCAGTTAAACGGCCGCTCCTGACTGGTCAAACCCCCACTCCTGACTGGTTAAATCCCCGTACCTGACTGGTTAAACGCCCACACCTGACTGGTTCAATCCCCATTCCTGACTGGTTAAATGCCTGTTCCTGACTGGTTAAATGCTTGTACCTGACTGGTTAAATCCCNGGCTGGGAGAGCTGGGGGTGCTCACCTGGAGAGGAGAAGGCTCCAGGGAGAGCTCAGAGCCCCTGGCAGGGCCTGAAGGGGCTCCAGGAGAGCTGGAGAGGGACTGGGGACAAGGGATGGAGGGACAGCACACAGGGAATGGCTCCCAGTGCCAGAGGGCAGGGATGGATGGGATACTGGGAATTGGGAATTGTTCCCTGGCAGGGTGGGCAGGCCATGGCCTCTGAAGCAGGCAGGGCAGCAGGCAGTGCCCATGAACACAGATGGCCACAAGGATGCTCTTTGTGTCCCTTCCCAGAAGGACAGACAGCACCAGACACAAACCTGCTCTTCTCTCCCCCTTACCTGTCTCCTCTGCCACCCTCTCTGCACCTTCTGGCCTCCCAGAGCCATGGATGCTCCTCCCTGAGGGCACAAATCCCTTCAGCTGCCCACCACCCTTTGCACTCACTGGAGCCCAGCCCTTGGGGAGCACACAGCTTTTGGGGATCCCTCAGGAGACAACCCAGACAATTCTGCACATGAGCAGATTGAAGGACTGGGGACTTGTACACCAAATCCAGAACCTCCTCCCTTTACTTGTAAACATCCACCCCAGAGCTCACAGGGACACAACATGAGGAATTCTATTTTGATTCAAGCCAAACCCACAGTCACTCTTTACTATAATTAAAATATCTCTAATTGGCAGAAACCATCAGCCAGGTGAACATTATAGCATAAAGTAATTCACTGATGTGCTCAGGATTCAGCACCCATTTACAGAGTGTCTTATCCCCTTGATGAGATCAGGAAAGTCTGGAAAAGCAGGAGTATGCTGTGGATTTTCTGTTCCATCAGCTCTGTGGCCTGGATCACAGCTGAGTCAGCAGAGCCTGGGGCAGCACAGCCACATCCACAGCACTGCCCTCAGCCCAGAGCTCAGCAGGGCCTCAGCCCCAGCACAGCCAGCCTCTGCAGTTGCTATTTTTATGGGCAGACACAAACCAAAATAGCTGTGCCTGACTCGGGAGGCAGCGTGGCTACAGCCCTGGGACTGCCCCACCCTGAGCCAGCACTGCCACAGCCCCACGTCACAAAGGGAAGGTAAAGAACACACAGCACCCCTCCAGGAGATCCTTCCCACTCCCATCTCTCCAGGAGATCCTTTTCCACACACCACCTGTCCAGGAGATCCTATCCCACACCCTCCTGTCCAGGAGAACCTTTCCCACATCCATCTGTCCAGGAGATCCTTTCCCACACCCTCCTGTCCAGGAGAACCTTTCCTATACCACCTCTCCAGAGATCCTTTCCCACTCTCACCCCTCCAGGAGATCCTTTCCCACACCCCATCTCCAGGAGTCCATCTCCACATACCCACCCAGCTGAAGGACTGGACAGACCCCAGAGCCACCTCAGTGCAGCCAGGACCAGCACAGTGTCCCAGTGTCCCATCCTAAACAAGTGTGCCCAAAAACTTCCCCCTTCTCCTGCATCAGCTGGGCTCTCTGTCAGTATTTGAATATTCCAGAGCTGGAATTTTAAGGGACAGAAAATTCACAGCACTTAAAATCACAGAATGGTTTGAGTTGGGACTTTAAATATCATGCACTCCAACCCCCCTGCCATGGCAGGGTCACCTCCCACTGTCCCAGGCTGCTCCCAGCCCCAATGCCTGGCCTTGGGCACTGCCAGGGATCCAGGATGGGCACCCTGTGCCAGGGCCTGCCCACCCT